TTTGGGCATTGCCCCCAACGGCTACCTGCAGTCTCGCCCTGGCATCATTTGCATATCTAAAACCTTTGCATGTGTGGTGCCTGAGGAGTGGTTACAATCAGCGTTTAGTAAGAAGCGTCTGGTCTCTAGAATGTCCAATTTTTGTGGCGTGATATCAGGGAGCACAATTTTCTTTCAAATAATGACCATTTCCATGGTTGCTATTGGAAGCCAACCTGGAAATAAATTATTGGGGACGAGGTTGAAATAGGATTTGCGTCGCAGTTAATTTAAAAGTTCAGACTGCAAACTGGATATAGATAAATCTGGTGACTTTCTAACTGGGGATTTTCGATGGTCCCCTTTAGTGTTGGAAATGTTTTGCATGTTAACAGCGACATGCTTCTAAATGAGAAAATATCTGTAACAAATCTCCCAATAAATAGATACTATGTTTTGAAAAACTGATCTCATATAAACGAACTTGGTAAAACCTACATTTCACAAAACGAACTTTGAAAAATATACTTCACTGTCTGAAAATGCTTATTAGATGGCATTACAATTAAGGCTTTGAGGTATAATTTATCATATCTTCGAAACATTTACACCATCCTTTGCTGCCTTCAGAAGCGCACAAGGAAGCGTCGGCTCATGTTACTGCTCAAATAACATTGAACCCCGGCGCAAAAAGTGCATCATAAGAGTCTGGAAAAGTCAACACATTCTAAGCACCGATTGTACGATGGGTACGGAGTCGTTCCGCCCTCCGTTGTTCTGTCGCGTCGCCTTTTAGGACGCAGTGTGTCGTAAATAGTGCACAGTAGAAACCTACTTTGCTCAAGTTGTTGCACGCTCGCCATAATTCCCTCCGTGTACGCTGAGACTGGTTTGGATCGAAGTCAAACACGAACGGACCGTTCGTAGTTGATCAGAGATCTACCTCTATGGAAATAACCTGTGGACGCAATAACAAAAATATGTGGGCATTAGCGAGGACTAAATGTGAGACTAAACGAATGAGAATGTAAGCCTACCGTAACTGGGACTTCTTCAACGGTATAGTCGTGACCAAATCACCCACTGACACGCCCACGGCACACCGCTGAGTTGGGGGGGGGCAGGCCCATGCCCTCGGGTGCCTCTTCCGGCTTCCGGCGGTGTGAAGTTGGTTTCTCGTTCCTCGTTTGACGTTCGACATTCAACCTTCAACGTTGAACAAGTAACTGTTCCATATTCGAACGTTGAATAAGTAACCGTTTGACATTCAGGGTGCACTCATTTTAATGGCTATGGAGTGCAACAGGGACAAAAAACAAACTGTTTCCAATACATGTTGATTTGAAGCTTTGCATGGTGAAGTCATGAGATGTACAGTACAATAGGTTTGCGGGTACAGCACGGACTAAGTCTCTCAGAAGATGTGTGGTTATTAAAAGAACCAGTAAGTGTTGACTCGACTTTTCGGTCAGGATACTCTTGCTGTCCTTTGGAGAGGGTGTTAGACTCAAGACTTGTAGTTTAATAGATAGAACTACAGGTTAATACTAAAAACGTCCTTTTTTCATGAAACTATTTCACAGAAGAGTATACTTTTTTACTGTGCTTATCTGCACATTAGTGACCCCGTTGCGTCCATTTCAACCAGGGTAAACTTAAGGCAGACATTGGCATAGTGAAAACAGCTGTGATGAAAGTCTTGTCTCGTCGGTAGACTTCTCCGCTTTGAAACTACAGTGGAAAAATGAATGTCTCACACTAAACTTTTCTGCCATCGAAATAAAACACCCAATCCCGCGTTAGATGTGGAAAG